AAACTGTTATTAATATTATTGTCAATTTGTTATTGATCAATAATCCGTAAACTTTTTGTGGTAGGCATCGTTATACGATAGGTAGCATACTAAGCACCAACGAAGTAGCGGTAGGTAGCATATTAGACGAGTACCGATTTTTAATATTTTTCATTTGTCTTTGAAAAAATATATTAGGAGCCTTCTATTAAATTTCCAACCTTTTTTAAACAAAAAATAAAATTTTATTGATATATATAGAATAAAAAATTTAAAAAAATTGGAAACTGAAAATTTCCTTAAACAGCTCAAAATAATTCAAAATATTTTGAAAATGTTGTGGTGTATAGGAAATACTAATATGAACATTCAGTCAAAATTTCATCTATTTACGGTAATTTGTTTTAGGGTTAGGTACACCAAAAACCAAAATCGACTTAAGCGAAAACCGATTTTGCGTACAAATTCTCGTTTTTCCTTTAATTAAATTAATTAAATTTTCTTTTGTTTTTCAGGGCGCTTTTGAAAACTACTGAGAAATTCGACCCCCCAAAATACCAACTAGATTCACTTTTCTACCAGAAAAGATACCGTTGAACAAAATCTAAGCACTTTTACCGTCCTAAAAGACACAAAAAGATTTAAAAAAAAAAAAAAAAAAACACACACACAACATTGTAAAATAAATAATACATTCATCACTCCGCTCAGAATATAAAAATAGTCACATAAAGTATGAGACAATGTGACATTATGTTGTTATAAGAAAGTCGCAATAAATTTTGTAGGTAGGTACCTATACGAGAAATGTATTTTAATAATTTCGTTATTACTGAACTATACTCTGTAATATGAAATTGACTGAAATGTATTCACTTAGGTATACTGAATTCCTTACCTACGTATTTGACATTGTTAGCCTAACTATTCTACCTTCACACTTCTTCTTACCCCTTCTCACACAAGTACACAATTATACAAGTTCGGCCAAAGTTAACATTCTCATATCTACTACTCTCACTCCACTTACTTACCCTAACCTTACATTTATTTTTCATCTTTCGCCATACCACACACTTTCTATTCACTCAATCTCTAGTTACCTACAAGTCGTACTTGATCATCGTACTTGATTATCGGTGAAAATATTTAAATTTAATTGGGCAAATTACCTACTCAAAATAATTACATTCCAAAAAATATCATATCCGACCAATTTCCTAATTTTTATCACGACTTTATTGATAGCCAGAATAGTGTTATACCAGTATAGTTACAATACAAATAATTGATAAGTAAGAAAATACATACCCCGTGTCCGAATCAAAATCTGCTATCAAACTTAGTCCTCCAAACACTGCAACGTTCACACATTTCATTCTACTTATGATATTTTATACACAGTTGGCAAATCTTGACTGACGAATACCATCTCTGAAATAACACGCAGCCTGCAGTAAAATGTTCAACAATATTCATATATATTCTTATGAGTTATGACTTATGACCTAAGCGTTACGGATATCATATTTTATATGTATAATGTTTAATTTGTATTATACCTACCTACCTAACTATTATGTGTTAGTTTGTATTTAAGAGCTGACTACGGGAGCAATGAATGTTTTGATTTTACAATGATTCTCGTATAACGAATTTCTTATTTTGTCTTATTCAACAACTCCTATTAACCGTCGGTATTTAAAATGTCCATCAAATGTTTAAACTATAATTTTCTATACAATATAAAATGTTCAAAATATTTCGACTCTTTTTCAGTGGTTTATAGACATTTGAATTATGAAATGTTTTTAGTTCTGTATTCTATAAATGTCAATAAAATGTTATTCGTTGGGTCAAACAGCTTAAAAACCACACAAAGTTCCTCGTAAGTTGTTATAATAGGAGTTAAAAAATATTAGAAATACATAGGCACGTTTTTTTTTATAGCCATTTAAAGTTCAAACTTCTACAAAATGTATCATAATCTTGACAATTTTCAAAATATTTTGTTGTCAGATATTCATACAAAAATGTCTTTGTTTACCTATAGTATAAAATGTAATAAAAGTTTCCTCATAAGTAGTTATTATAATAGCAGTTGAGAAACAATAAAATCAATAGACATGGTTTTTTTATAAGTACCTAATTAAAGTTCAATTTTTAACAAAATGTATCAAATTGATAATTTACAAATTTCTATTTAGTAGTTAAAAATATATAAAATGTTCAACTTTTATTGCTAAGGATTGAAAATGTAAAACAAGAATTCTCATAAATAATCTATTAAAAACACAGTTAATTTGTATAGACATTATAAGTTCAAATTTGGACGAAATTACTTATTAAAACAAAGAATAACGATTTTAGTTATTTTGTTGTAATTTAAAAATAGTAGCCGGTATTGTGGTTATAAATTATAATCATGATAAATTATTTCATGCAAATTTAAAATATTTAACGTTTTATTATTTTTCCATAGTAAAATATGATTTATTTGTTACCATGCATTTTAGAAAAAATTAAAGTGAAATTAAGCCCCAAAAGAATATGAAAACAAACTTACTTTAATTATCGATTCTTTGCCGATGAGAAAACACTCCAGAATATAATAAAACTTTAAATATTTTGATTTATAAAAAATAAAATTATACGGAACGCAGTAAGTTTTTTACTAATGTGTGCTTTGCTCATTGAAATTTTAGAATTTTTAATCGACTGTGTCGTCTGCAACGAGTTTGAGATTTGCCATAGAATATAAATGATATATATTATACTAGGTAACGTCAATATGATGAATCCACGGATATAATGTAATGCAACTTTTTATAACAAAGAGTTCCGTGTTAAGGTGTTCCTACCTACTAGAAATGTATTATAATAATATCGTTATTACTGAACTATACTCTGTAATGGGAAATTGGCTGAAATGTATTTACTTATACTGAATTCGACAACTGATGTGTCAAATCTCGATCAATTTTATTTTATGTATAAGTGTTAAGTGTGTTGTACAAATGACGTGTTCATATAACAGTGATTATTTTGTGTTGATAAAACTGTAATTTCAATTTGAAATGAGATGTATTTATATAACTTATTTTGTAAAGTTTATGACAATTAATATAACTTAAATTGAAGGCAATATTCGACAAGCAATTATGATGGTTCATTTAATATGCAATTATTTTGAAAATAATTACTCTCATTAATACAAAATGAGTAGAAAAATAAAATGCAATATGTATCATATGGTGTAGCACAAAATATTTGAATTTAACAGTAGTTGTTGATTACCTACAAGTCATCGTACTTGATTATCGGTGAAAATATTTAAATTTCATTGAGCGAATTATCTACTCAAAAGAATTACATACCAAAAAATATCATATCCGTACAATTTCCTAATTTTTATCACGACTTTATTGATAGCCAGAATAGTGTTATACCAGTATAGTTACAATACAAAAATAATTGAAAAGTTGCGGGAAATACATCTCCTGATAAATAAATTTTACTGAAAAATAAGAAAATACATACCCCGTGTCCGAATCGAAATCTACTATCAAACTTAGTCCTCAAAACACTGCAACGTTCACACATTTCATTCTGCTTATGATCTTTTATACACAGTTGGCAAATCTTGACTGACGAATACCATCTCTGAAATAACACGCAGCCTGCAGTAAAATGTTCAACAATATTCAGATATTCTTATGAGTTATGACCTACGCGTTACAGATATTATATTTTATATGTATAAATGTATAATCTTTAATTTGTATTATACCTACCTAACTATTATGTGTTAGTTTGTATTTTAGAGCGGACTACGGGAGCAATAAAGGTTTTGATTTTACAATGATTTGTATATGATTCTCGTATAACGGTTTTCGTATTTTGTTGTTATTCAACAACTATAAACCGCCGGTATTTAAAATGTCCATCGAATGTTTAAACTATCATTTTCTATACATTATAAAATTTTCAAAATATTTTGAATCGTTTACAGTGATTTATAGACATTTGAATTATGAAATGTTTTTAGTTGTGTATTCTATAAATGTCAATAAAATTTTATTCGTTGGGTCAAAAAGCTTAAAAATAATACAAAATTCCTCATAAGTTAATACAATAGCAGTTAAAAAATATTAAAAATATACAGGCACGTTTTTTTGGAACAAGTCTAGTTTAGCGGCTCCTCGAAATTTAGATTTTTTTTTTGAAACCTATTTAATTCGACGAGTTTAGAACGATGGTGCAAAAATAAATTTTCGGAAATCATTAGTTTTGAAGTTATAGACTGGCGAAGTTCACGATTTTCGGTGTTTTAGGCATGCTAGAAACGCTCTATCTTAACGCTCTTATAACGAATTTTTTTTTTTATGCTAGAAATAAAAATTTGAATTAAATTGAATAAAATGATTAATCACTAAAAATAAAAAAAATATTATGGTTACAAATTATTTTATAATATTGTTAGATTAAGAATATATTTATATTAAATCACTATTTAAACGCTCTTATAATGTGGGCAGTGATTATACAGCTAGCCGCAGTCGTCGCTGCAAATCGAAAATATCTCGCGACTTGCTATGCATCACCACCTTAAGTAGGTTACAAGGTAAGTTAAGTCGTAGTATATGGGCAGTGATTACACAGTTAGCGGCACTATGTTTCCGAAAAAAATAATTTAAAAATTCGTTAAAGAGCGTTAAAATATAGCGTTGCGCGCATGAGTAAAGTACCGAAAATCGCAAACTTCACAAGTCTATAACTTCAAAACTAATCATTTTCGAAAATTTATTTAAGTTAATTTTTACAGACATTAAAAGTTCAAATTTGGACAAAATTACTTATTAAAACAAAGAATAACGATTTTAGTTATTTTGTTGTAATTTAAAAATAGTAGGTATTCGTTGATTCATAAAACTTTTAGAGTATATTATTATAATTTATATTCAGTTATTTAGTAATAATAACATAAAATAATACTTAGTTAAATAAACCATGGATAAATTTTATTGTGAATCTTGTTGAGGATATTTAGCTGATAATTTTTTGATTCTATTAGAAGCTTGTGCCAACCAATTTTTTAATGGTTTTTCTATTTCAATGTTAGGGAGATTTTGTGAAGAAAATGGTGGTTTCATTTGGCGAATAGTTTCTAAACAAACAAAAAACAAATCATTTATTATTTTTTATTGACCATATATCTATATTTATTAATCCATTTACAGGCTTAAATACCTATACTATCTATCAATAAGTATTTGAGATGTTTAAATACTAGGTACCTATATATTAATGTATATTGAATACATTTTTTCTTCTTTTAAACATATTATATACTTTACATAACATATATTATATATTTACTAAACATATTTCGTATTTTTGTTAAATTTAACCACAACTACTAAAATCTTTATAATAATATATTATATGCTGCTGATAATATGAGTGATAGGTACTAATCTTGAAGAAACATTTATATGATTGAATTGATACATAATACTTTAATTTCTGAAATGTGATCATTTTGGTAATTGTTTTAAATTTAAATATACTTGTAATTATAGTTAATAATTATAAATATTAAATATTGTTAGTTAAGAAATAATAAGGTATAAAAACAATTTATTATTGTTTAAACAACCTATATGTATATATATTTACCTTCTATATTATACTAAATATTAATTTTATTTCAACTTTGCAAATAATTTGAATTTAGTTGTCAATACCCTCAAAGCTTAACTAATATTTATAAATAGCAAAAGTTTTATAAAAAATATATGTATTATTAATAATTTTGTACCTAATTGACAACTAAAAATTTTAAAATTTGACAAAATATAGTTTTTAAGTTATTTTTACAATACTGGTGATAATAGTATTTATATGATGTTTATAAGTTATAACATTTAATATGAATCGGTTTGCTAATCATTTAATAAGTAATTGGACATTTTTACTATTGATTCCCCAAAGTAAAAACTTCTAATTTGTTAACAAAAACCTCCATCAAAATCAATGATTCGAGCCTTTTTTTTTTACTTAAAACTTGTGTTATGAAGTTTTATATAAATTTCAATGATTTTAATCATTGCACTGAAAAAATCTAAAAAGTGATAATAATGAGTATTAAGTAATTTGCTTAAATAGTGAGCTACAATAAAAATAGTGAGAAAGGCATGTGAGTGAAAAGTCTGTATATCTATTAAGACATGAGCGGAAAAGTTCATTACCAAAATTGTATAAATAAAAAATTGGTTAACTTTTATAAATTACTAATAATAACTATGTAGATAGTTATTATGTATGGATTATTAAATTGATTAAAATTGCATTAAAAATATTTACCAAATATCACGGAGCAAGTTTGGAGTGTAGAAAAATTTTCTTTTCCTTTGAATCCTATGTAGGAGTAGTTAGTTAGACAATTATCAGTGAATAATGTTTGCATAATTTTTCTTATAGTTTCAGACAAATTCTGTCCTCTGTAACGAGCTAGTTCTTTAATCTACATACAAAATACAATTCAGTAATTATAATCTTATATAATTTGAAAGTAATGTAATTTGCTATTAATACCAATTTTTTTTTATATGTTGTATCGTTTAATAATTTGTCCTCAAGATCATTTAAATCAGTCGCAGTATCCACACGCGTTATAGTGTTATCAAATGAATATTCGGTAATATCGGCAGATACACATCCTTGTAATCTTTCATTAATTTTTTCTTGCATACACATAATAATATCAAGACGATCTTGTATATTTTTTACTTCATGTTTGAGAACAATATGTTGTCTGCTAACCAATTTTTGAAAGTCTGGAAAAAATAAATACATTAAAATGTAATTAAAAATGTCTGATATATTTGTATTTTTTAAAACTTTGAATGTATTTATATATAATCAGGCGCGTCCCCAAGGGGGGGGCGAAAGGGCGTTCGCCCCCCCCCATAACAATTTTGAATGTATAAAATTACTATTACCTATGTCAACAAAATTTTAATGATTAAAATTTTAATTTATTGTTATACCTAAACCTAAGTAGAAAATTTCTGTAGGTGAAAATCCTCCGAAAGACGTTTTTCAGTCTATTGAACAATGCCATACTTTAATTTTTCCGCTTATAAGAGAGCTTTTATTAATATTAGGAACACTTCCTGTAAGTGTCGCTTCTGCAGAGAGGAGCTTTTCAACACTTCGCAGGTTGTATATTATAAATTAGTATTACAATTTTAATAACATTTTATTTCACAGCAATACCATTGATCTTTTGTTTTAGAAACAATGCTTATGCTTATGTTATATTTTAAGCTTTAATTTTGCTTACTTTGCGTTTGCTTACACTATAAATTTATTTGAATAATGCCATAATGCGGTAGTCATTAGTTTGCTTTCACCTAATTGCTTGCTATTTATTTCATGATTTTTAGATTAAAATCAGAGCCAAATGGGGCAAAGCAGATTGACTGGACTGGCATTAATGCATGTGCATAGAAATATAGATGTAGACATAAATAATATAATTGACCGGTTTGCAAAAAACAAACGAAAAATAGATTTTTTTTTATAATATTTACTATCCTTATTTATTATTATTAATATTATTATTATTATTATATTGTATAATATAATATTTCATTGTATAATTGTATTTATTTATTTATTATTATTATTATTAATACCGTAAGCATAATATATCGATTTAAAACATAGGTTCGCCCCCCCCCCCCTTGAAAACTGTCTAGGGACGCCCTTGTATATAATATACATTTATACATTCAAAGTAGGTACAGTAAAACCTCTCTATAAAGGAATCGCTTGGGCTGACAAATTTTTCCGTTATAGGGAGACTAAAATATACGCGATAAGTTATTCAAGGACGTTGTTATTTTCCTTTAGGGAGATTTCCGTCTTATGGGGTGTCCGTTTTAAGAAAGTTTTACTGTACCTACTAAAATACAATTAAAACCATCTTGAATTGACATGTAAAATTAAATCATTTATACAGAAATCTATAAAATAAATTTTGTAAATTTTTTTTTTACGTTTTATAAAGATAATAAATTATGGAATTTGTTAATACCTTTATATTGATTTTCGTAATCAAGTTTTTTAACTGACAATGTTTTAGATGTTGATGGGAGTTCATCAACTGGATCAAACTTAAGTCTTTTATTATTTGTATCAGACAATTGAGAACTAATTGGAGTTGAATAACCATCTGATTTACTTTCATAATTATTTGGTGGCGATAATGACACTTCAAATAATTTATTTTTCATTTTTGGGTTATATGATTTGTCCACATCTGAATCATCTCCATCAAATTCTGTAATTTAATTATTTATAATTAACAAATAATAAATATAATATTTCTACAGTCATATAACATTATAATAATACTTTATTTATTAATTTAGAACTTTTTTAAATTGTACACTCCAGATAGTGATTAGCCATAACATTTTTACTATTAATATAAATTATAATAAGATGGATAAGGTTAAGGGTTAGGAAATGAAAAAAAAAATTGCAGTTGCACTTAAAATAAATATATTTTTTTTTTTGTTATAGTCAATGGTTATGGTTGGCTTGATGAAGAAGCTATTCATTATTAGCACTTCATGATGGGATGAAGATTATAAATATAAAATTTAAAATACTAGGTATATTGTTTCACTTTCAATATCTGTATAAGACTATATATATTGAAACAATATAATATTTAATAACTATATATTTATATATTATGAAATCTTTATAATGGATTTTTTTCTTACCATCACAACTCAAACTAAATAAAGGTGGACTTGGTGGTTTAGAATTGTTTAAATAACGTTTTTGCTGTGTGGATGTGTGATTTTTCTTTTCAATAATATTTTCATGGTCTGTCGATAAGTCTGATGTTACTTGTGCTTTTCTAGCTTTTAATTGAGCTACTTCAATTTGAGCTAAAATGAAATTATAAAAAAATATTAATTAATGTAAATCCATAGAATTATTAAATTATACATAATTATATTATCTATACTTACCAATATCTTGACTCATTATACGTGCATTATAATAAATAAATGCATCTGGGTTTTCAGCCGGGTCTACTCTTTTTTCAATGTAGCTACGCACGTTAGCTCTTTTTTTTTTGACCAAGCCAAACTCCTTTGTGTCAAAAGTTTGGAATGAAATCTACAGAGTCGTCAATTTCAAAGCAAACAACACTCCACATATTACTGAAATGAATTGCTTTATTACAACATAATATATAATCATACAAAAAACATAGGTATGTTTGTATAGAAAGAGAAAGACAGGAAAACATATTCATACATAAATGTAGATATTTAAAATGTTATATTTTAGTGAAAGTACTAATTGTAAATATTATATAGGTAGACCCAACATAACTCAATTTGTTTTATCTAGGTACAAACTACCTATAAAAATTTAAAAATTTGATGAACTAACAGAATTTTTACAACAGTATCATATTAATTATATTATTATATAAAAATTATACCTATACAGATTACAGACTATAGATAAAGGTTGATATACCTAGGTACCTGCATACATAATTAATTATATTAAATAATAATAAATATTAAAATTAAAATAATAAGTTATAGATAGGTAGATACTATATTATATACTAAATAATTAAATTAAAAACTTTTTTAAAAAAAAGGTAGGTAATAGGTAAGGTACTTGTAATAATAATAATAATTATTATTATTATGTAGATACATCAATACATGTATCAACACATACATCAATGCATCATAATTAAATCAACGTATTGACTTAATTATGATGAAGTATAGGTACCGCAGTAAGTTTGTCATTCAAATCAAATACAAGCATTTTATTTTTAATATCTGAAATATTCCAATGTTTTAAATGCTCTGATAATTTGTTTATAACAAATATATTTAATATAGATGACTTTAGAGGTTTAATAAAAAGATCTTCTTTTTCTTCAAATATTTTACCAATAAAAACTGTAGTTAAATCAGAAGATTTTTTAAATTCAGTTATTTGTACAATTTCATTAGAGTTGGTGAGAACAAAACAATCGGGTTTTTGATTTGAATACTTTAATTCACTATGGGTGATTGGTTGAATTGATTCATTTTTGCATAGTTCATTATATCGCCTAATCACTTGCTGTAAAGGTTTTTCATTTTTATGCAACATTTTTTTTAAGACTTTCATGTAGTTCTCAAAAGGAAAAGTGCTACACGTGTCGAGAGGTCCATGCCTTTCATAATCATCACACAAATGAAGAATTCCATGTACATTATGGGATATAAAATGAGCGCCTTAGATATACTGGAATGATTTGACAAAATATTTTAATAAATTACGAGTATAATGTAGAAGTTGATGGTTATTATCACTTAAAAGAATTCTCATTGAAATATGTAATGCTAAAAATTGTTATAACATTCTTCATTTAATATATCTTTAAGTACTGTTGGACCAGTATATAAAAGAAATTGTCGGAACTCAGTGGCTTTCCAGCGACATACATCTTGGATTGGTCTAGGTTTTATTATTATTATATTATATTTGCTGTTCTGACAAAATACTATAAGAATTTAGCAAGCAATAAAAAATCTATATATTAAATACCTACGTATAAAATATTATGTACCAATAAGGCACCTACTTCACAAAAACTAAATACTTTTTCCAATGTCACAATTTAAATTAAAATTAGGTACTTACACGTATTTACCTATACGACGACGGTAACAACGCAGGTAGGTACCTAATAACCCATAGGTAAAGGCTTGATTATATCCATCCATGGTATGGCCTGCTCTTCTTAAGAACATTAAAATATCATTGTCCCCATTTAATATTTGAATATAGTTCTTAATTCGATATGTAGCATCAGCTCGATTAACTCGAGTTACACTATTTCGTATTGAATGATTTCTCCGAGGTTGGTCCATTTCTACATAGTACTGGTTTTCAATCAACAATAGTCTTGCTAACATAATAATAATATAGTTTTAATTAATACAAATAATTGGTACATATGAAAAATTATTCCGCTTACCTAATTGTTTAAGTAGCAAAAAATGTATTAGATAATTTAATGTGTTTTTTTTTTTATCACAGCATTTGCATGATACAAATTAAAAATTACAAAATACAAATTAAACAGTTTTTAAAATAAAATAACAACAATAAGACTCACTTTACCACTATACATTACTTTGCCATTATACATCCAAATGGATTCCACTTCCCTAATTGTTTTAGTAGCAAAAAATGTATTAATCTATACAACAATGTGTTTTTTTTAAACCACAGCATTTGCATGATACAAATTAAAAATTACAAAATATAAATTAAACAGTTTTTAAAATAAAATAACAACAATAAGACTCACTTTACCACAATACATTATTTACTTTACCATTATATATCCAAATGGCAGATACTGTTCTATTTAATGAATATTGGCTATGCGACAACAAATAGAGTTGTTTTATAATATGTATCTCTATTATTTAGATAATAAAGCAAACTATAAATGTATTATACAACTATTCAAATTCATAAAATAGAACAGTTAACACCAAGATGAAATGGACATGTTGTAATATTGTAGATCACACAATATTATTATATTGTGCTACAAGCAAAACAAATAAATGAACATCTTCCATCACCTATATCTGGGCAGTAATGTTTGTTAAATACTTTATAATTCACATAACAGTAAAATACAAGGCTCTGCAAGTTGACTATTTTTAAAAATCAGTTACTTATAAAGATATTAATATACATAATATGCAATATTATAACCATTATTATACATTTTTTTAGTCATAATAGGAGAAATAGACTTAAATTATAACTTACCCAGCCTTGGTAAAATACAACACAAACAAATATAAATAATACACAAACGCTGATATCTAGGATTATGTTTACATAAATAATCCCAAATATTGGGGTTTCTTCCTATTTGGCTTAGTAAGGTTCTATGAAACGATTCCAAATAGTTGTTGGTTCGAATGTCTGACCTTCAAACATACAATGTAAATGAACATTCATTTTCGGCAATTTAAAATGATTATCCTTATTTATTAAATATAAATTACCCAAAAACAGTAATAATTGCTCAACCTATTTGATCAAACCAAAAACGTTGAATGTAACCAATTAAAAATTATGAAGGCGTTCCGAAATATGGTCATACTGGTTTACATATTCAATTATAGCATGAAACCCATCGCTCATAGTAAAACGACATTCCGGGTGTATTTCTGCAGGAAGATGTGGTAATGCTAAAACCTAAAAATGATTGATCATTAAAATTTAAAAGTATGAATTAGGTACATACATTTAAGTGCCTTAAACATAATAACTAGAATAAGATAATATTACCATACGCAGAACTCTATTTGCTTCAGGGTTATTTTGGAATAAGTGGAATACACTATTTAAACTCTTTCGGCAGTATCGGATAACGGACTAGATAAAAAATAATTATAATTATAATTGTTACAGGAAGCATAAGAACTTAACATGACATTACTTGACAGAAGTGGAACCAGCAACCACGAAGTTTACTTTCAGGAAAAATACTTTTTACGGCGGTCATTAAAGCTCTTTCATAATCCGTAATAATAGTGATTTGTGCATAATTTAATGGTAGTACTCTTCTAACTACTCTAAAAAATGACTTATATGCTGCTTCGGTTAATGCATATACCATTGGAAAAGACTTGACAAAATTAAGTTAGGTATTAGATCATAAAATATTAAATAAGGTATGAATGTAAATAAAATTATACACACTAGACTAGACACCAAAAAAAGAGCTGACCAATTACTTACAAAATAATTACTTGTAATCATAAACTTACTACATTTTTAAATAGTACATGAAATGTCAGAAGGCAGCCTTTGTTAAATTGAGGAGGACGTTTAGGCACTGTTTTAAACGTTCCGTCCACTCCTGCAATGTTGACGGATAAAAGTTCATGCTAATATTTTTGAATGGCGTCTAAATTGAAAAAAATTACGCCAACAACTTCCCCGTCAGCTTCAAATGTTTCTTGGAAAAATCTAAACAAAAATTAGAAAGCAATAGATATATAAATTTAATCAATGTGTTTTTTAATTAATAGTTTGGCATTCAAAAAATTTACCTTGATGGTGGACGCTGCAAGGTTGATGAGTAAGATTTATTTTGTTCCAGGCTCAGAATGTTTGCGAGTTCTTCAATTGTATCGACACTTTGTGGACGAGAACATTGTCGCATTCTCCTTACTCTTGATTGGCATTGTAAAAATGTGTAATTTTTTGCTCCATCAGGGTTTCTATAACATATACAAAATATATTATCAGCACTATGATTAATCATATTGAGTAAAAATAAAAGGATTTATATAGTTATTGTTCATAAATCATACAAAATTGTACTTACTCAACTATTTCATTATTATAGATATGTCTGATTGAGTTTGACAGTCTTCCAGTAGTTGTGCCTGCAATGCCAATACTCCTCCTCAAATGGGCCACTGGAATGTCCACAATAGGTGGAAAATGGTTGTGTCTTATATTTGATCTTAACCAATTCTCATTTATATCCACACTCACTATTGCTGTCGATGGGCAGAATTCAGCCTTATTCTTTTGATTTTCACATACTAAGTACCTAACTCATTAAAATATTATGTTTGTTAAAATTCATATAATCTGTAATCGTAATAAACTATGATAAGTACTCACATTTTGTTGTTACGACTTATATTCTTATAGTATTTATACCCAATGTTATCCATATATACTAAAGAATTGAGACAGATCCCAGGCACAGTAAAATAGGTTTCAGGAGCTTGCTGTGGCACATTAAAATTTACTGGACCTGCTTATAATATAAACATAAATAATATTGCAATCAATAGTGAATATTATAGAGATCAGAGAACAAGATCATTCATAATTTAAACCTTGAAATTTACCATCAATTTCATCATCCCCATCACTTAATTGAACATCCTCCTGGGGAACTAGAAAACAAATGG